TCACATTATAACGCCCCCACAGCTGAAAGGGCGAGCATGTTTGGTAGGACGGGGATTCGAACCCATAGTCCAAAGTAAAATTACGCCTGTGTGTAGTTCGAACCTTGGTTTGTGAGATCGAATTTAAGTAAAGCTAAATTTTTATTTTGTCGTATTCTCCCGTTCTTTTGGATAAGATAAACTTTACATTAAATGGATATTCGCACGAGTGTACTTAGAATTTTTGTATGTAAAAGTACTTTAAAAAAAGTGTTCAACAGGTTTTTGCATTCATAAAAAAAGAGCCAAAGAACATAATTTCGTTGAATACGTCGGAACTCTAGGTATCAACTTATTTTCCCAACCTTTTTTCTCTCTCTCTCGGTTCAATGCAAAACAAGTACACTTGCAAAGTACGGTGTAAACAGTACATATCCAACAGAATAACTTTTGTGTAAAATATAAACCTGAAACAAATGTAAGAAAAAATATACAGCATGGAATTTAAAACGCTGTAATAAAGGCAGGCTTTGATTCCATCATTCTGGCTAGTACTGTGAATCAGATGATTCATGGTTCGCTTCGCTTTCGGTAGCCGCATAAACGCATCTGCACTTTTCGGGGGTGGGTGCGTTATAAGCGTAACAATCATATATTCGGTTAAACTAAAGTAGCCCAGGAATTGGCGGTGGTTGCTATTGACAGCTGCCTTCCTTTGCTATTCTATCAGTACAAATTTAAGTATGACTATGCGGAAATTCCCCTTTATGCAGTTTTGCTCAGAATTCTAAAACAATTTGATTTTGATTTGTTCGGTTGTTGTTAAGCACAAAGCTATATAATGGGCCATTTGTACCCTGTCCAACACGGGTATCAAAACCCCAGGGTGAAAAGTTAAAATCAAGAAGTGTAAAAGTTTGATCAATTCATGTGCATCTATGGTCATCTGGCTGAAGAGCAGTGCAAGCAGCAAAAGCTCGCACTGTCAGAACCAATTTATTGTCAAAAATATGTCCACCCACTTTATTATGAATTAAGAGGTAAATTTTTAATATTTATTACTTCTATATCAAAGTTGATAAAAGCGTTTATTAAATAGAAGAAACACAACCGGTTGAAGAGATAAATCAGTGTCGTTCTGAGGGTTAGATAGGACACACAAGTCAATGTCGTTCTGAGGGCTATATAGGACACACAGGTCAGTGTCGTTCTGAGGGCTAGAGAGGGCACAGGTCAGTGTCGTTCTGAGGGTTAGATGGGACACACACAAGTCAATATCGTTCTGAGGGCTAGATAGGACACACATGTCAATGTCGTTCTGAGGGCTATATAGGACACACAGGTTAGTGTCGTTCTGAGGGCTAGATAGGGGCACAGGTCAATGTCGTTCTGAGGGCTAGATAGGGGGCACAGGTCAGTGTCGTTCTGAGGGCTAGATAGGGGCAAAGGTCAGTGTTGTTCTGAGGGCTAGATAGGGGACACAGGTCAATGTCGTTCTAAGGGCTAGATAGGGGGCACAGCGGATCGATAGTTAAACAAATGAACAAACTTCATGACATAAAATCTGTGCTAGCGATAAACAACCACATGAAATCTGTGCTGACGTTAAACGACAAAACAAGATATTAGTTAACAGACAGATAAACAGCTAAAAACCTGTGTCGAGTGGACAGATTCGTAGACGGACTGACACAAAACAGTAAGAGTTATTCAAAAAATTATATTTTAACGTAACGTTTCATTAGCAGTCCAAAGCGCCCTAAAAAAAGTAGAAA